AGTTCTGCCCAGTATTATGCTCTAAATTTAAAGAAATGCACCTTCGGAGAAGGCCACTTTGGTAATTTTTAATAACTGGGAAAACTTTACTAGGAGGGCTGAGAGAAAAATTCACACAAAGAATCTTCTAGAAGTTGGAGCTCTGCATCTGACTACTGGAGTGTTCCTCCATTTCCAATAGGGATTATTTTCACAGATTATTTTTGACTTAGCCAGGCAGGGAGCCTATTTCAAAGCTCCCAATTTGAAAATCATGGAAGCTTTATAAAGTTTTCCACCTGCATCTCTTTTTAGGAACACAGTTCTTTATTCTCTAAGGGATGAAAACCTCCAGCATATAAATACTTTGTTAAGCTGTCACTATCAATAGGGGGAAAAAAATAACAGTGGACAAAGAAGAAACAAATTGCATCTTCGAATAAGTTTTCTTGAAGCTCTTGTTAAAAGCTATAACCTCTGATGTTAACTAAATTTAACCCGTTCTGACCCTCGTGGCGGCCCTTAACCTCTTCTTTCTTCTGTTTCCTGTGGCTGCTGGAGAGAACTGGCCCAGTCATTGGAAAAGCGTTCTCTGCAGCACACAAAGGCCCAGCCTTCCTGCTACCCCATCAGGAGGCCCCGAGTCGACCGAGGGGTCAGCACCTGTGCCGAGAAGCAGGTGACAGTGAACTGCCTGCATCCTTATACGGCAAGTTGTAAGAGTGACTATCCTTCAAATATCACACTGCAGTTGCAGGCATTCAAGCCACTGAAGTTCAGATTTTCTTTGTGAATGCAGACTTTACACAAATTAATCTATTGCTGTTCAACTGACTGTAAAATTAGTAGATTTACTGTTGCAAAAAAAAAAAAAGAAGAAGAAAAACTAAGAGCTTTCACTTCCACTTTGGTAAGGTCAGGGATGTGTCCTAGGCTGCCAACAAAGCAGGCTTTAAAAATCTCTGCAGCGGAACCTAGCAACTTGTAAGGCGAAAAAGCAGCAAAACAATGACTCCAATGTACAGTGGAAAGTCTGCTTCCCTATACAGTAAACGTCTGAAACTCCACATTTGAGGAACTTCCCAAAATGTAATAATTTGCCTTTAATTCCATTTGCCTCAAAGATGGGAAATTGTGAGAGCACAAATTTGTTTTATCACAAACATTCTATTTGTTGTCAGTCCTCTCCTCCTTAAATAGTCTTGTAACTATAACGTCTCTTGTAGGTGTTTAAAAATAGTATAGAGTTGCATTCAATTTTTTAAATTTGAGATGAAGTATTCCTCTCTTACCCAGCCCTGAGTTCAGTGGTGCATTCTTGGCTCCCTGCAACCTCCACCTCCCTGGTTCAAGGGATTTTCCTGCCTCAGCCTCCCAAGTAGCTGGGACTACAAGTGTGCACCACCATGCCAGGCTAATGTTTGTTTGTTTGTTTGTTTGTTTTTTAGTAGAGATGGGGTTTCACCATGTTGGCCATGCCGGTCTCAAACTCCTGATCTCATGAACTGCCTGCCTCAGCCTCCCAAAGTGCTGGGATTACAGGCATGAGACACCACGCCCAGCTGGGTTGCATTCTAAATGTCAAATGCTAACTCATCATTTGGTCCTGGTTTGCTTTATCTACACAGTAATCAGTATGGTACATTTCATGCTAGTTATTTCTTGTTCTGCATGATGTCCTTTGATGGCAATAGAAATTATTTTCATTGTCTCAAAATGATGAAAGTTAAAAACTCAATACCTCTGAAATGGAAAGACATATCTCTGTTGTGTTCCAGATGAAATTTTGAACCTATTTTCCGCTTTTGCAGTTGCACAAGAGACTTTTCACAGAAGATAAATGGATCTTCCGTATACAAATATTTTTATTTAGCAGTTATGAAAGCTTTAAAAAAGTTATTACAATATGTCATTCATTTTAGACCAATTTATTTTGCTGATTCACAACCATCAACACGTTTTAATAACTGATACCATCATATTCTGACAAAAGAAATGATTAATCTGGAGTCTAATGTGGGGAATCTTACTCATGGTAAGATTCATTCTGAATCTAGTAAACAGTGTGAGAGCACACAAAGGGTTATAACACAGATGTGGTCACCAGATGTTCTCCAGTTCTACTGCGGAGCCAGACTAAGTAGAAGCATGATGGATTTAGGTTACAGAAAGGAAAAGACTCCTGTCTTATAAAACATTGAAATGAGAACCTAAATCTCCTTGCCTCGAGTTTTTTTTTTTTTCCTGGTCTTATTTTAAATATAAAGATGTATATATGTTTGGAATGGATTAATTACAGTCCTGCCTGAGGAAAATAATAGAGATTTCACAAGAAGGCGTCCAGCTTTAATAGTTTTTTCAGACAATAATAGACACATGATATTGGGCTGAGAGTATCTTCAGGAAGTATTGAATGAGTTGCCTAACACTCAGCCAAAGTCTCTTGCATGCCTTGTTCCTATGACTTTTTTAACAAGTCTGTAAACATCAACTAAGGAGAGCATGGACCCTCTTGGCTATTAAACTGACATTGTAATGATGGAGTTGCTGCCGTTTAAGATAACTGCTCTCAGCTACATTTAGTTGGTACTACATAGGATCTCACACATTATAGACTTCAATTCCACCAATTTTAGCACAACTGCTCAGTTAAGAGCTTAAAATCTGGGGGGGGAAGTACATAATCTATGAACAATTATTTGTTGAAGAATATGCTGAATATCTGAGACACATGGGCTTTAAAGTTTGAAGATGTTCATAACTTTTTAAAGAAATCACCCACAGAATGATTCTTTTGTGGATCGGATATCTTGTACCTCAATGATCTTGGGTTAAGCAAGTAAATCTCACATGCAATCTTGTTTTGGAAGGCCCCCTCAGCATTGGAAAAAAAGTGGGGGGACTTGAAAAGCTAACAGTCAAGAATAGGGACAGGATATTTCCATTATCCCTTCACCAGAGCAAATCACCAGCATATTCATTGAAAGAGAAAGTTCATGGGCATGCTATGGAAATTAACATAGAAATTACTATGTGGTAGAAAACACAGGCATTTTTAGAGTCACCATGATTTGAGTCTTATTGAGTTACATTTTTGAAGGGGGTAAATTGTGTAGAAATGATAACAATTAGGAAAACTCTACACATATCTGAGTCCTCTTCTCTGTATATAATGGATCAGTTTACAAAAGATCTTTGGTATGGTAATATCACTTCCCCAAACCAAAGTCTTCATCTTTATTCAAGGATCTTTCAAGTTTGCCCCCACCAAGTGGAGCTCAAGGCTTTCAATGACTCTTTAAAAGCTGCCAAATGGCTGGCGGTGGTGGCTCACACCTATAATCCCAACACTTTGGGAGGCCGAGTGGGGTAGATCACCTGAGGTCGGGAGTTTGAGATCAGCCTGGCCAACATGGTTAAACCCTGTCTCTACGAAAAATTTAAAAATTAGCTGGTCCCACAGGTATGCGCCCGTAATCCCAGCTACTCATGAGGCTGAGGCAGGAGAATCGCTTAAACCCTGGAGGCGGAGGTTGCAGTGAGCCGAGATTACACCATTGCCCTCCAGCCCGGATGACAGAGCAGAGCAAAACTCTGTCAAAAAAAAAAAAAAAAAAGCTGCCAAGCTTCATTTCAGCTAGAGGTCAAAGTATAGTTCAAGGGAAAAGATTAAAAAAAAAAAAAAAGGCTTCTCTCCATCTGCGGGCATGTCTGTAATAGCCATCCCATCTCTGCATGTCTCAACTCCCAGACTAAAGCACCATCTTCTAGGTGTGGAGACATCTGACAATGGAAGTCTAGAAAGCTTCCTAAACCACCTGCTCTGGACACAGCGGCCTTCAAAGAGGGACTGCAAATGGAGGCTGACTGGTAGCTTGTTACCAGGGATTACTTGGTGTGAAATTATTTGTGCGATTACCTTACCAAACTTGAAGTATTTGAGCATTAAATGTTTCAATTACTTGTACATATTTCATACCCTTTAATGTTTTCATGTACTTTTAACTTTACTGCTTCTCTCACTACTTCAGTCTAGCAATGTAAGGAACATTTAAGGTTTGATTGAGTTTGGGGTTGTCTTTTTTTTTTTATTCTGCTACTAGTTGTGTGATCTTGGGCAAATTTCTTTCAGTTCCCTCATCTGTAAAATGGATAATAATAGTAATTGGCTCATAAAGTTGTCCTGAAGATTAAATAACTTGAGATATGTTCAATGCTTAGAACAGCGTTTGGCACATAGGTAAAAGCAATAATAAATGTGGGCAATGTTCGTTTCTCTTCTTACCAGGAATCCAACATTCCTGGTATGAAGCCAGATTAGGTGGCTTCACTAAGCCACGCCTGTGGACTCGCAGTCTGCCTTTGAGGAATTTCTTACTGAAGCAGAAAAGGAGCGGGGACAGACGGCCCACACCCCCAGCACCCGGCTTTCGAGCGCGCTCCACGGGTCTGGGTCCCTTTTCCCCTTCGCCAGCTGGGGCCCCGTTAGAACCTCTCCTATCTACAACACTGAGGCTCCAACGCGCCGGCCCCCGCTTCGTTTTGCCTCTGGGAGCCGTTCGCATTCCAAGGCTCACCTGCAAATCGGGGACAGCGCCCTTTCACTCACGATCCCTATAAAAAACGATTATAAAACATTTTATTCAGTGTTACATTAAAAAGACGTCTGTGAAAGGTCTTTATAAAGCCCCAGTGGGAGACCGAGATTGGTGTTAATGTAACTGGAGGACGGCTGCTCCGACTGCCGCAGAAACTGGGCACTGGCCTTCACGGCACCTGCGGAGCCGCGGGAGCCAGATGAGCAGCAATTTCCCGTCAGGGACCTCCCTCGCGCCCCTCGCATTTTCGGTCGGCGGATTTGAATCCCAACAGCGGAAAAACTCCGCACGTCACCTCTCCTTTAAAGGACTCGGGAAGAAGCCCCGCCCACTACGGAGAGCGACGGGGTACGGCGGAGGAGCCGCTTTACTTGCTCCCACCGGAGTGTACCAATCACTTGCCCCGGCACAGGTAATACTAAACGTGAGGCGCACAATGGTGCGCGGACCGGCATTGGGAAGACGTGGTGTTACAGGGCGCGCCTGTAAGGACATCTGGAAGGTCAGGGCCACCCCGTCCCGCTGCCAATGGCGGAGAGGCCCCGTAGGTCCTGCTGCGGAGTCGAAGGGTTCTGCCGGGTTATAAAGCCATTTTCAGCGAAGCCGCTGCACAATTTCCCAGGTTGCTGGACCTAGAGTCGGTGCCGGCCCTACTAAACTCTCCTCTTCCCATTTCACCTTGCCGGCCGACGTTCGCACGCACGCACGCACGCAGTACGTCCCCACGTCCCGCATCAGGCCCGGACGCGCTGCTGGTCGTCTTCTTGTGGGCGCGGCTGCCGCTTTTACCCACGACTGGATCAGCTGCTCCCGGAAGCACTCCTGCCCTTTATTTCCTGGCACCGCTAGGGCATAGCGAGCGCCTGCGCAGGAAAGGTTGGACAAACGCATCATTCTTTCTGCCTGCTGCTGCGGGAGACCTTACTGGGGAAGGTCGCGAAGTGACTGGGATTTTTTTTTTTCTCACTTATCATTTAGTAGGCTCTGTGGCTTAAGACTCTGGACGAAGTAAACTAAGTTCTCTTACTGAGAAGTCTCAGCTCCAAGTATGTTATGAAAGGCCTAAATCAAAGAAAAGTGGAGGGTGAAGGGAAGAATCTGGAAAATCGACTACTAGTTATTGTGCCAGGTACAAGACAATAATGAATAAGTCCATTTTCTTCCTTGCTTTGTAGAGTTTACCGTCTAGTGATGGAGAGCAGTAGTACTAAGATCGTCACAAAACTATAATTGTAATGAGTGTTTTAAAGGAAAGATAAACTGGACTATAGAAGCATTCGATGTTAAGCTCAGTAAACTGGGTGAGGGATGGGAGACCTGGTTTAATTTGGGAGGTAATCAGAAGAATGCGCTAGGCATTCATCTGGTGTTTCCCAAACCAAGGACAAGACTACTGTCTTTCTAGAACCTAGTGGCCAGTGTGACCTAGGCATAAAGGAGAAGCTGGGGAGGTGGCAAGGGCCTTTTGGCCTGGTGAAGGTGTAGATCTTTAATCTCGAGGGCTGTTTTATTTAAGGTGAGGAGGGTTTTGGGTGTAGTGATCGCAGTGCAGTGGGAACTGGTTGCCAGGGCTGAAGCCGAGTTAGGAGACTGGCAGGAATGCAAACAAGGTGGTGGGTGTTTTAAACTGAGGGTCGTGACGGTGCATGTGGAGAGAACTGGAAGGATTTGAATGGGGTTTAGGAAATGAAGTCGACGAGGCTTGGTGTCGTGTTGACTATGAAAGTGAAGGAGAGTGGAGGCGTCAAAGGCGTCTTCTTGGAGGTGACTGGAGGTTCTGGATGGGTAGTGATCCCATCACTAAGATAGGGAGTTCTGGAAGAGGACTAACATAGGATTAACATAGAATAAGTCAGTTTATTTATTTATTTTTTTGAGAGTGTCATCCTGTTGCCTAGGCTGGAGTGTAGTGGTGTGATCTCAGCTCACTGCAACCTCTGTCTCCCGGCTTCAAGTGATTCTCCTTCCTCAGCCTCCTAAGTACCTGGGATTACAGGCTGGCTCCACCACACCTGGCTAATTATTTTGTATTTTTAGTATAGACAGGATTTCACTATGTTGGCCAGGCTGGTCTGGAACTCTTGACCTCAAGTGGTCTGCCCTCCTCAGCACCCCCCAAAAGTGCTGGGATTACAGGTGTGAGCCACCGCCATAAGTCCAACTTTTAATACTGAGTCTTTAGATCTGGTTTTAAAAGCTTTTTAAAAACATATTCAAGATGGTTATTATTTCAATTTAATAGCTAAAGAAACATGGTTAAATAGTTGGCCAAAGATATGTTAGCTTTTTCCAGTGTTCTAAATGGGAGTTCTAGCATTAAACAGTGCAGCCTCATTATGGAGAGTACTTTGTGCTCCCTATGGAAGAGCAAAACCGGAGCCAAGGGAGGGCAGCATGAAGTCCTAGTAATGATAGTACAGGTCCTCTGGAATTAAGACTGCTGATCAGGCTAGAATGGGACAAGCAGGACAGTTTGCCTCCTTTGGGATATATAAAAGAGTTCTTAGGGTCATAGGAATTGGCAAAATTAATTTCACAAATATTTAATCCACTGGAATCTATGCAACTTTGATCCAACCTCCCAGGAAAGAACAGATAACAGTTACAAGCTTGCGAATATCAGCTATATGAGAAAAGCAGTGAGTGAACAAATAATAGAAGTTGGTTTTTGTCTCTTCAGTCCACATGATTTCAAATGCATGCAAGTGATTTAATTTCTTATAGGACAAGACTGCCGACCCACCCACCTCTAATGAGTGTATTTGCTAAACCACATATTTAAATCATGTTCCAGGAAGTTTCCTTGCAAATACTTTATCAGTACTTCCGGTAGAATGCAAAATGATGAATCATACAGGGACAGCTGTCCTTTGGAGCAGTAATCATTGTCTTTTTTTTTTGATACAAGAATGTTCACAGCAGCAATTCATAAGAGCCAAAAAATGGGAACAGCCTACGTGTTCATTAACAGAAAACTGGATTTAAAAACTGCAGTATATTCATATACTTGGAGGACACTTCTTAGAAACAAAAAGGAACAAAGTAATATACATACGTGGATGAATCTTGGAACGTTATGCTGAGATGCCTTATAACAAAGAGTAGCTAGTGTTTGATTCCATTTGTATGAAGTCTTAGGACAGGCTATGATGGGGAAAAATCAGAAAAATAGTTGCTTTCTGGGGATGGAGATCAAGTTGGAAGTGGCAAGAGCGGACTTTATGGGATGATGGTGATATTTTACATGTCAATAAAAGTTTTGGTTACAAAGGTATATGCACTTGTCGAAATTCAGATAAAGTCTGAGTAATCACTGAATTAAAAATGGATATCTCATACTATAAAGTTAAGTATTTTAAGTAATTGACGTTAAGATAATTGGCTTTTAGAATAATGTGGATGTCTCGGAGAGTATAGTTTGGGAGTGAGAGTGCAGCAAATGTACCAGGATTGTCCTAAGAACCTAAGCGTTTCTATTTTGAGTTAGTCTCCTGGCCTTTCAGCCTCGTGTTGTTTACCTCACAGGCATCAAAGACTTTTATCAGAGAACATGGCTTTCTATTTTTCTTCAACCTTGAAAGGTTAAGGGCAATCTCAGACATCCTAGCTCAGACTACCCTTGACCCCACTTATATTACAATTTTTTTACTTTTTTTTTTTTTTTTTTTTGAGATGGAGTTTTGCTCTTATGGCCCAGGCTGGAGTACAATGGCACGATCTTGGCTCACTGCAACCTCCACCTCCTGGGTTCAAGTGATTCTCCTGTTTCAGCCTCCCAAGTGGCTGGGATTACAGGTGTTTACCACCACGCCCAGCTAATTTTGTATTTTTAGTAGAGATGGGGTTTCTTCATGTTGGTCAGGCTGGTTTCAAACTCCCAACCTCAGATCAGGTGATCTGCCCGCCTCAGCCTCCCAAAGTGCTGGGCTTACAGGCGTGAGCCACTGTGCCCGGCTCTTACTCTTTTTCTTAAAGTTCATCTTTTTTTTTGGTCCTAATCCAGTGGTTCTGAACAGGATAAGGAAGAGAAAACATCTGTGTTTTGAAAAGCATCTCCAGGTGATGCCAATAGGCCCTCGTTTCTGAGAAACACTGTCCCAGCGTACACAGGTTAACTTTCAACCGTTCACTAGCAAAAAATTGTACAAGTTCTTCCTCAAACCGAAACCATCACCATTGTATTTTTCAAAAAAATTTTTTTTTTTTGAGACAGAGGAGTTTCGCTCTTGTTACCCAGGCTGGAGTGCAATGGCGCAATCTCGGCTCACCTCAACCTCCGCCTCCTGGGCTCAGGCAATTCTCCTGCCTCAGCCTCCTGAGTAGCTGGGATTACAGGCACACGCCACCATGCCCAGCTAATTTTTTGTATTTTTAGTAGAGACGGGGTTTCACCATGTTGACCAGGATGGTCTCGATCTTTTGACCTTGTGATCCACCCGCCTCGGCTTCCCAAAGTGCTGGGATTACAGGCTCAAAATTTTTTATTTCAGTAGCTTTTGGGGTACAAATTGTTTTTCATTACATGGACAAAATCTGTAGTGGTGAATTCTGAGATTTCAGTGTGCCATCACTCGAATCATGTACATTGTACCTAATGTATACTTTTTTAAAGCCAGCACCCCCCCACATCCTCCCCATCATCGTTTATGATGAAACTTTTAAGACTTGAGTTTGAGGAAAACTAAATGAAGAAATAAACGCAATATGCATCACCAAAAAAATCAGAATTTAAAGTTTGTAAAGTTCCTTATTTATGGGTCACTTAGATATAGGCTGGAAACTGATAAAGAGAATTTTTAAAAAATTATATACAAAGCCAGAATGCCAATGTATTAAATTACAGTGAAATTTAGAACTTACGTAGACTATAATAGGTACATTGGCATTACTAGTGAACCCTTCCTCCCTCTAGACTATTAATTTGCTCTTTAAAAATGTATTGAACACACATATAACTATAACCTAGATTCAGCAAATGCTGCCATAAGTGCATTGTTTATATTTCCTGCTAAATGGTTTCAAAGTAAGTGACAGATGTCATGACACTATCCTAAATACTTCTGTGTTTGTTTCTTAAGAATTTCATGTTCACACCTAAGGAAATTAATAAGCTGGGCGCAGTGGCTCATGCCTGTAACCACAACACTTTGGGAGGCCGAGGAGGGTGGATCGTTTGAGGCCAGGCAGTAGTGGTGCACACCTGTAATCCCGGCTACTTGGAGGGCTGAGGCAGGAGAATCACTTGAGCCTGGGGGTGGAGGTTGCTGTGAGCCAAGGTCACCCCACTGCACTCCAGTCTGGGTGACAGAGTGAGACACTGACTCAAAAAAAAAAAAAGGAAAATTAACAGTACTTCCCTAATAGTAGCTAATACCTATTCCCTATTCAGATTTTCCCCTCATTCCCGTGTCTTCTCAGCATAATTATGTCTCATTGATTTTTTTACTCAAGAATAGTTTCCCCCTTCCCTTTTCATTCCCAATAGCTTTGGCTTTTTTAGACACTAACCAGTTGTCTTGTCCCATCTGGATTCAACAAGCTTGTTTCCTTGTGCTGTCTTCTACTTTGTTCCTCTGAGTCTGGCCCTTGTATCCCCTGGAAACTGGAAGCCAGGTTCTGACCCTGCATCAGTTTCAGGTCATATCTTTTGGACAAGGCTGCTTCATAGAAGGCGCTGTGCCCTTTGGGTGGTTTCCTATCCAGAGATGTGGCAAGGATGGCAGGTTGTCCCACTGTTGGAGATGCCAAATCTGATATTTGGTTAGGATGACAGACAGCTGTCTCTTCGGCAGGTATGCTTTTCCGTTTCGGTCTGAAAGTAATCTGTGGGTGACCCTTTGGCATCAGCTCTCTTGCATCCATCCCTGCCTGAATCAGTGGTTTCACTGACGTTGGAAAAATGGTGATTTTCTTTCTTTAAAATAAAAAACAAAAACAGGGTCTTGCTCTGTTGTCCAGACTGGAGTGCAGTGGTACGATCACAGCTCACTGCAGCCTCAACCTCCTGGGCTCAAGTGAACCTCCTTCCTCAGCCTCCCAAGTACCCGAGAGTACAGCTGCGTGTCAGCACACCCAGCTAATTTATTTTTTGTAGAGACTGGGTCTTGCTGTGTGGCCCAGGCTGGTCTCAAACTCCTGGCCCTAAGTGATCCTCTCACCTTGGCTTCCCAAAGTGCTGGGATTACAGGTGTGAGACATCGTGTGTGACATGATTTTCTAATTAATTTTACTTTTCTTTTGTGTTTATTAGCTGTCATTCTCCTCTAAAGAAGAGCTTTTCCTCATCAACAAGGGATGATTACAGTTCTTCCTAAAAAGGTAGGATAAATGCTCAGTTTTTTTTAACTTAATTACCAATTTTCAAAGTAAAGAATCAAGATAATAGTCCCATGCAGTTGTGGCAAATTATCATTTTCATAGATTTTTGCATATTCAGTGTGTTGCAATGAATGACATTAATTATGCCTTAATGTTTAAATTACATCAGAATTGACCAGTGGGAGTCTCTTCATGCTGCCAAACGGTAAATGACATGTAAACAAACACAATCATAATACCATCATGAAAATCTGAAAGCTGAATAGTTGACGAAATAAAGGAACTGTTTTTAATTGGGATAATATTATTGTGATTATAAAAAATATTAAAGAGTACCTCTTAGAGATACATACTATTTACGGAAAAAGTAGGACTGACTTTGAAATAGTTCCTGGATGTTGGGGAGGGAGATAGTTGGGGGGGTAAAGATGAAACCATAATGCTGTTTATTATCCAATTCTTTCTGTACAACGTTGAAAGGTTCCTAATAAAGAGTTTTAAAATGATGAATTCATGTTGATAGCTGCAATTTAAATGTAATATTACAGGTTGTTTTAATTTTGTAATTCTAGTTTTATCTATAAGGGCCTATCTTGAAGAAACATATTTTCAGTTTTGCTGATTTAAAGCCAGTATTGAGTTATTATTAAAGCTTAATTGCGGTGAATTGCATTGTCTGCTGTATACATCAAAAACATTTGAAGCTTTTTAAAAATTTCAGCTTAAATTCGAATAATGGCAAAAGACATTAAAAATTATATAGTTCCAGTGTTTTTCTACTCTTTCCTTTTCCTTTGTTTCCTTCTTGGAAAGTGTTTTTAAAGCTTTTTAAAAAAGCCTACATTATTTTTCTGAAACAGTCTTTATTTTTTAAATAAATAAAATGTATTTTCAAGTATAAAAATAATACTTCCTCATTATAAAAAAAAATTGAGAAATACTGGCAATTAGGAAAAATAGGGGAAAGAATTGCTTTTGCCTTCAACTTCAGCATTTTTATAATTTTTTCCCCATCTTTTCCTATATGTAGTTATTTTGTTTGCTTGTTTGAAAAATTCCTACATTTTGAAATATTTTTATTTTAATATGTTATAATTTATTAAACAAGTCACTTTAGCTTTTATTCATAACTCCTAAGGGAAAAAGATAGCTAAAATTGAGTTAGTATTAAAGCTGAATTGCAGTGAACTGTTTTGTCTACTGTATACATCAAGAAAATTTAAATAATTTATATATATCTATTTAGTAACATGATTTTACATGTGGTAACTTCTATATTCTTGTTGCTAATACAGACTTTGGAAAGAAGCGATTGATTCTAGACTTTAGTAAAGTTTATAGAGCAGGCTTGTAAGCAGGAACTTACAGTCCACTAGCAGAATACCTAATGAAATTTGGGACGGGATACTGTTGCTAATTTTCTGATGATAAGTGAAAAAAAAGACAACTTCTCTGATCTCTTCAGATTTTTCTTCTTTTTTGGTTTGGAGGCTTCCACCATTCACAAAAGATCTGACGTTTTATTAAACAGTGTCTCGGTGACTTAAAAGCAGTTTGCCCCACCTTAGAGCCTTTATAGCATCTACAGCTGGAGCCACCAACCGACTAGTAACCATAGATCAATGCATGTCATACATTGTGGATGGAGCATCTGGCCACAGATCCTCACAAACACTGGGAGCATCTGAAATGCCAGCTAGAAATGTGAGGGGTGTGGCTTGTAGGCATTCGTGTGCATTGGTGGGGCGTGACACATCCAAAGACATAGAGGTTCAATGCCAGCAGCCCCGCCATAGCTCCTTGGCTGTTTCCTTTGGCCTGTGGATTCATTTGACAAGTACATGCTGAGCCAGGCAAGGTAATGGGTTTGAGGTTGGGGTGTGCTGTTTTGTAGAGGGGTCAGGGAAGGGCTTGCTGAGTAGGTAGCATTTGAGCAGAGAAGAGGTAAATGAACCAAAGGCGGTCTGAGGGAAGAGTGTTGCAGTGAGAGAGAACTGGGTGCAAGGACTCAGAAGAGGGGTGTGTTCAGTGTTTACAAGGAACACCAAAGAAGCCAGAACAGAGTGAGCCAGAGGAAGCACAGTTGGCACAGGCCAAGTCACAGAGGGCATGGTGGGTCATTACAAGGGCTTGGCTTTTCCTTGGAGTGAGATAGGACTCAGGGGAGGGTTGTGGGGTTGTGGGCAGAGGAGGAACATGATCCAACTTAGGCATTTTTAAGGATTTCTCTGTGTGCCCTAGCAGTAATAAACCCTAGGGCGTGAGGGCAGGGGCAGGAGGAACAGTCAGGAAGCTGTCTACTGTGATGCCGTTGAGTGGCGTGCACTGCGGTTTGGGAATGGGATGATAGCAGTGGAGAAGGTGAGAAGTGGTTATACTGGTTGAATGGCAGGTTTTGCAGATGGATTGCTGAGAGAAAATGAAGAGTCAAGGATAACTTTGGTATTTTTGGCCTGAACAACCAGAAGAATGTCTTGCCATTATATGAGACAGGGAAAACTGAGGGCGGAGCAAGTTTCACATGGAAAATGAAGCATTGAACTTTGGACATGTTAACTCTCAATGACTGTTACATATCTAAGTGGAGATGTGGGGTAGGCAGCTTACCCTACAGGTGTGGAACTCAGAAGAGACTGGCACTAGAGCTATAAATTAGAGTGCTGGGTGTTACCCAGCTAGGTAAGGAGGGTGTTGGGAATATGCACGTCCATCACTTTCTATTTAATTTACCGTATTTTTTTATATCACTCTTGAACATGAGGGGTGAGGGATCAGTGGGTTGTACAGCCCGGTGGAATCAAAGTGAGGGACCAGAGAGAATTTCCAGTTTTAAACACCCCAGGAGCTTCTGGGACCATTCTCTGAGAAGCACCCTGAAGACACCTTGTTTTCCTATTTCATGTTTGAGAAGTCATACCTCTCTGAGTTGGTGATTCTCTAATGATTCCCAGCATGCCCTAGATGAGATGAATGGATCCTCTCAGCACTCTTTAAGCCTGTACTTCTGAGATTTACCAAATGCATGAATAAAAGGACAGAGATGCAGTTCAAACATCAATGTGCATTTGTAAGTGCTTCAGATTCAATCTTAGAACCATGAAGTAAAACCACTGTCACCATACATGCCTCTGTTAACGTTTGGTAGTAATACCTGCCTTGCCTTGAGAATGATTTTTATAGTTTATGAGGTCAGCACTTTGATTTATGTCACAGTGCTTTCTGACAGTCTCAGTTATTCTTCCAGTGGGCTGGCTTCCTTCCTAAAGAGGTCTCTTTCCCATGATGTGTTCCTGTCTGCTGTATACCATCAGACGTATTGATAAAGTGTTAACAGTTAATTATATTAAAAGTTTATCAATTGGTGTTTATGAATCACCAAGCATTTTACATACTGCATCCTCATAAATAAACCCCTAAGATGATATTCGCTTTTGGAGTTGGCACTACAAGATGCATGAGAAATTACAGTTGGCCCTAGAACAACACCGGTTTGTACTGCATGGGGTCCACGTACATGTGAATTTTCCTCCACCTGTGCCACCCCTGAGAGCACAAGACCAACCCCTCCTACTGCTCCTCTTCCTCAGCCTATTTGATGTGAAGACAGTAAGGATGAAGACCTTTATGGTGATCCTCTTTCACTTAATAGTAATATATTTTCTCTTCTTTATGATTTTCTTAATGACATTTTCTTTTCTCTAACTTCCTCTATTATCAGAATACAGTATGTAATGCATACAAAATATGTGTCAATCAGTCGTTTATGTTATTTGTAAGGCTTTCAGTCAACAGTAGGCTGTTAGTAAGTTTTTGAGGAGTCAGAAATTATACACAGATTTTCAACTGCACAGGGGATGTGTTTCCCTAAGCCCCAAGTTGTTCAGGGGTCAACTAAATAGTCAAACGAGAGGATGTGTACAGAAAAAAAAAAAAAAAAAGTGAAACCAAAATGCTATGTAAATCCGGTTTACTCTCATAGCCACTTGTCTCAGGGACAGTACCACCATGAGTTAGTCTGGCCAGAGTCACCTGCTAGTCCACTTTATCAGTGTAGACTTTTGTGTGTGGATCTGAAAGTCCAGAGAACAGCATTTCCCTCATACTTGCAATTACAGTTTTCACAGCCTCACACACACCCTGCCATGTACCACAGTGTCAGACCATGGGAATAAGTGATTGAATTTTAATGAACTCTTCTTACTACTTTCTTAGGATGGCTGCTCTTTCTCTAAAGAGGTTAACACTACAAGCCATAAAGTCTGAAAAGAGTTGCATTAGATGTTTTGGTAAACACATTGTGCAGAAGACAGCACCAGCACAGTCGACCCCTATTGCTTCTGCCCCAAGATTCTCCTTCCTAGTTCATGCAAAAGCCTTTAGTACCACTGAAGACACCCAGAATGAAGGAAAAAGTAAAAAAAAGAATGGCACAGCTTTTAGTAACACTGGAAGAAAAATCAGTCAGCGAATTATTCACGTATTTGATGAGAAGGGCAATGATCTGGGAAACATGCACCGAGCAGATGTGATTAAACTCATGGAGAAGCAAGAGCTGCGGCTGGTTCAGAGGAACGCCAGCGCAGAGCCTGCAGAGTACCAGCTCATGACAGGAGTGCAGATCCACCAGGAACGGCTGAGGCTGAGGGACATGGGGAAGGCTAACCCCAAAACTGGTAGGTATTTTGCTGTTGGCTCCCTGAATCCTTTAAGAGCTACAAATCAGCGGTTTAAATCCTAGCATTTGTCAAAGTGCCTGTGACAATAGGGAAATGAGAAACTGCAAAATTCACGATTCCACCACCGTTCCCAGTGTCTCTGTGTTTGCTCCTTTATTCTTCACTTACACCTTTTCCCTTTTTTCCCTGTTTTTCCATAATACCCTCCCCATTGTCTCTTCCCTTTAAACCTATGTAAAATGAAGACGATACCAGGAGAACACACCAACGTGAAGATAACTCTTTCCCCTGTCCTGTGTGTGGCCTTCTCCCAGTGCCGCAGCAAGCAGAGTAGCTGATGGGTGAAATGGAATGAGATTAGGAGGGGAGCATTTAAGTTCCCTGCCCTCTGCCTTCTGCTGGGCCACTCATGTAACCTTTCTCCGTTTTTCTTCCCCTTCTTCAGCTCTAAAGTGGAGGTGTTTGGTGAATCATCTGGAAGAATCTTTTTATTTTTTTGAGATGGAGTCTCTGCCTGTCGCCCAGGCTGGAGTGCAGTGGTGTGATGTTGGCCCACTGCAACCTCCTCTTCTCAGGCTCAAGCGATTCTCCTGCCTCGGCCTCCCAAGTGGCTCGCCACCACGCCCAGCTAATTTTTGTATTTTTAATAGAGACAGGGTTTCACCCTGTTGGCCAGGCTGGTCTCGAACTCGTGGCCTCAAGTGATCTGCCTGCCTCGGCCTCCCAAAATGCTGGGATTACAGGCATGAGCCACTGTGCCCAGCCTGGAAGTGCCTTTTAAACTCTAAAGCGATTCACAGAACATCTCCCATCCCAAAGCGTTTTGTTACAATATCAGTAGCAACACTCATTTATATATTCGACCAGTGACTTCACAAGGCACTTGTCATTTAAGCCCCACAGAAGACATGAATTGGATATTAAGCAAAGATGTTTTTCATAGTTCCTAAAAAGTACTGATCATTATGAAAGTTCAGTGGATGGCGCACGGGGACAGGCATCAGATGACTGCTCCCAGCACTGCATGAGGTTGTGTGCCTTCAGAAAATCACGTTATGTGCGTTATACCTGGCTCAGTTTTGTAACACCACATTTAACAAGGATGTTGACTGGAAAACAAAAAAATGTATATATTCAGAAGAGACCAGGGAAGATAATGACATCAAACTATGTCACTTAAAAAAAAAGTCACTGGGCATGGTGTCTCATGCCTGTAATCCCAGCACTTTGGGAGGCCAAGGCAGGTGGATGGCTTGAGCTCAGGAGTTCAATACCAGACTGGGCAATATAGCAAAACCCCATCCCCATCTCTACAAAAAATTTAAAAATCAGCCAAGTGTGGTGGTGCAAACCTGTGGTCCCAGCTACTTGGGAGGCAGAGGTGGGAGGATCACTTGAGCCTGGTAGGCCAAGGCTGCAATGAGGAACTATGATCATGCCACTGCACTTTAGCCTGGGAGAGCGAGACCCTGTCTCAAAATGAATGAATGAATGAATGAATGAATGAATGAATGAATGGTCTCGTTTTGTTGCCCAGGCTGGAGTGCAGTGGTGTGATCTTGGCTCACTGCAGCCTCTATCTTCTGGGATCCAGTAAGCCTCCCATGCAGCTGGGACCACAGATACACACCACCATGCCTGACTTTTATGTTTTGTAGAGACTGGCCTTGCTATCTTGCTCAAGACAATCTGCCTGCCTCAGCCTCCCAAAGTGCCTGGCCCCCAGTCTTTATGATGAACACTGGTGCATACTTTAGGGTCTGTGAACCTAGATGGATCAAACTGCTCCAGCAGCAGTGTATGCAGTTTCTCTACCTCCTCCTCATACTGTCAGACTCTAGTTTTTGTCATTTTGAGAAATTAATGTGTATTCCACTATCTTTTTTTCTTCGGTGAATTGCCTACTTAGACTCCTTTTTCTACTTGGTTTATTTTTCTTCCTCATTTATGGGGTTCTCTGTCGTATATGATGCAAAAAACCTTGTCTCAGTTAGATTTTAACTGTTTTTTTGCCTTTTTTTTTTGTTAGTTCCTTCCCCTATCCTCAGATAACAAACCATTCTGTCTTTTCTTCTATTTAAGTTGTGTTTTTCACCTACTAATGTAGACCATTAGTACATCTGGGGAGATCTAACTTTTTGTCATCTATAAACTTCTCAATTGTCCCAATACCTTTACTGAGTAGCCCGTTCCTTCTAATTTTCTGGTAGGCAGGATTTCTGGAAACAGAGGGCATGAACACAGGATGTAGGGACCCTTCCGTGTCCAACAGCCTGGCTGACTCCTTAGTAGCAAGGAGTGGGGAGAGCACTCCCAGATGCCAACCCACGGCTGAAAGATAAGGATATTAAGTGTACCATAGAGCCAAACCTGCTCCTCTACACAACCATCTTTTGGTGTTCTTTGAACAAATGATGGTTAACAATAAATGGAAGCATTTCAGATTTTAAATACCCTTCCATGGCAGGTAAAAATTGGTACCTTTGTGTTTCTCTCCCCCATTTGCAAAGGCATTTACTGGTCTATGAAACCAAAAGCCAGACGAGAAGTCTGTCAGGAGGCAGCCTAGGATTTTTAAAGGGCACGTTGGCAAGTTCCAGGGTCACAGTGGACTAGTCAGTAGTCTTTGCACCCTGTCTGTTTCAAACCAGGACCAACCCTGACAAAGGAACTGACTTTTTCTTCAAATATTGGACAAAATGATTTGGACACAAAGACTAAACACATTCAGCAGTGGATTAAGAAGCAACACCAAGTTCGGATTACTATAAAAAAAGGGAAAAATGTAGACGAGTCAGAAAATAAAGGGGTAAGTAAAGAAGATACAAGCTACTGCTTGCACTTTTGTTCTTCTGATCTAAAAATATAATTGTAGAAAATGTGGAAAATTTAAAGACAAAGTGACTGGTAATTCTTCCAGTGATGTTAACAGCTTTCTAGTTTGCTTTTCAAAATTAAGCATAGTGTAGGTAACGTTTTCCATCACAGCATATTTTGCCATATGAAAACATTCTATTTATACTTTAAAAGCAATATACTGTTGTTTTATGAATTGTAGAATATCTAACCCTTAAAAAGGAAAATTAGAAATTTGATATGCTGGGTGTGGTGCCGCACACCTGTAATCCCAGCACTTTGGGACCGAGGCAGGTGGATCATGAGATCAGGAGATGGAGACCAGTCTGGCCAACATGGTAAAACCCCGTTTCTATTAAAAATACAATAATAGCTGGGCGTGGTGGTGCATGCCTGTAATCCCAGCTACTTGGGAGACTGAGGCAGGAGAATTGCCTGAATGCAGGAGGCAGAGGCTGTAGTGAGCCGAGATCATACCACTGCACTCCAGCCTGGGTGACAGAGCCAGACTGTCTCAGGAAAAAAAAAAAAAAGAAAGAAACTTTATAGGTTGATCTTTTGTTTCCTCTTAAACTTAGGAGGGGCATTAATTACATAGACTGTTCTTGTAGAAAGTGTGTAGTTTCTAATCCCAGAAGTTTATGGAATACCTATTTTGCTTTTTTTTTTAAGTTAGATAACCTTTTCACCCAACTAAGGATATCCTTAGTAATCCAGCACCACAGTAGAGTCACTTAAGCACAGGTCCCAGCCCAGCTGGTTCAGAATTTCTGGAGTCCAGGTATCCATTTGTTTCAGTCACTGAGAGAGACTCTCTGTTAGGGGCAGTAGAGTGCTGGGAACTGCTTGGCTGACACCTTGGGGATGAGGAGGTATTTTGTCAATGCCCAAATCCAGTGCTTTCTGCCTATCTGGGGGAGAGGGTAGTTTGGGCCAAACATAGTCTGTTAGTGCCATGACAAAGTAGAGATTTAAAATTAGGAATCATTCAGCATGTCACTGCAGTTACATGGTGTTACTGTCAACTTCTCTGATTAGCTAATCACTTGACTGACAGCAGCAGTTCAGGGAGGCTGGCTTTTGTGAATGTTCGAGCAGTTCACACTGGAAAGCACTAAAGCCTCGGATTTTAAATTAATCTTTGGCTGTTTTCCTTTTTTAGGAGGATATTTTTCATCAAATACTCCAGACTATGCCTGGAATAGCCACATTCTCATCTAGGCCACAAGCTGTTCATGGAGGAAAAGCCTTAATGTGTGTTCTCCGTCCTTTGAGCGAAAAGGAAGAGAAGGCATATAAAGAAACTCAAGAGCTCCAGGAAAGAGACACTTTGAACAAAGAGCACGGAAATGATAAGGAATCAAATACTCTGCATCAGCAATTTTAATAAAGAAAAATATGCTTCTGAGAGAAAGTAACTAAGCTCACTGGTCTACAGTCCTTTAAACAGCGCAGTGCGGTTCTTCACTGAGGGTTAGTACTGCAACTGTTGAGAGCACATTTTCTTCCACACAGTTGGGTGACTCTCCGTTTTGACACAAAGATAAGCCTTGCTCTTGTTTCCTTTTGGGAGGGATATATCCACTGAGACGAGAGGCCAAACTCCGTTTTTCACGAGCTTTTTTTACCTTTGGGAATAAGGAAGACAGCCAATTAGAATTCAAAATCAGTTATCTAATTTTACACCAGTTACATGCACCAGCAGGTATAGTACACAGCATTCCTTTATGAGGAAGTGAAGTCTTCAACAGGAGTGCAGACTCACACAGTAAAGCGGCTGAAAAGAGGTCCAGACAGACTCCATCTGGCTTTAAACAATTCCCGTTAGAAAACGAAGCTTGTCTATAGTTTCAACTTACTTTGAGGTTCATTTTCTTCTTGTCAGGATCATGGACAACCGCATGCCTAGTGAGACTTTGCTACAATGAAAGAAAGTTACATTTTTACAACAATGTTCTAAAACATCAAATGTTGATGTCTTAAAAATAGGAAATACTAATATGAAGACCCCATTAGTGATTTAAATCAACCTTTCTGTTCTGTGATGTTGAGGCATTTGACCTCTACCTAACTCCCCCCAACAGAGCTAAGGAAAAACTTCTTCCTCAGATTTTGGACTTAAATCATTACCTTTTCCAAGAATCGAGGTTAGGAATTTGCACAGTCCCAATCACCAGTAGTTTTTAGTTCTTTTATAAATGGGGAAAAAGCTGTTAACTCTTTCAAGCTGAAGGAGCTTCTTTTAACTGAATCTGTCTAAATAATGTTCATAAACACCAGCAGGAGCTCCAGGCAACGTGGCTTTGATGGTAATGCCAGCCACCAGCAGTTGCCAGCTGTTTTCTAGTGGTTTGGACTTGTACTGAGCAAGCCTCATTTCCCTCTGCAGTCATTATGAAAATGCACGCTAAGAACCTGTGAGAACCAGCCAGAGTTGCAAGAGTCTGCAAAGCTGCACAGGCCCCCTCCATTGAGTGCCAGGTTCTTACCTGACTAGATCCCCAATGTTGTGGTCCCTCATCTCCCTGCAACCCATTTTCCTTCTCAGTCCCTAGGTGATGGTGGTCCAAAAGGACACTCAAAACATCGGCACACTCTTAATAATAAACATATGATACTAAGGCCACTGATTCTCATTTAGAAGGTGTAAGAACCCTCCAGAGGGTTTGTTAAAAACAGAGTCCTGGGCCCCACCCCCAGAGCATCTGATTCAGCAGGTCTCGAGAGGGCCCTGTGAGTGTGCACTTATAGCAAGTGCCCAGCTGACGCTCCTGGTCCAGGGCCACACTGTATGAGCCACTGGCCTCGGCAAACCTGGCTGTTCTGCAAACCTAAGAACCACCCTGGAGGAAGCAAGAGTGGCAGGTGTCCAGAGAGAGCCCATGCTGGAATGTGAGGCTCCCAGGAACTGTGTTGTGAAAGCATATAGAACCGCAAGTATGAGGGTGAGTGCTTACTTTCATTGCAAATGTTCTGCCACAGCCAGCATGTTCACACACAAAAGGGCGCCTTTCCTCATGAAAGGAGAGGATATGGCTTTGGAGATTAAACACAGTTGTGTAGGTTCTTCCACAGCCTTCTCTTGGACAGCGGCACACATCCCTTTCGGGGGCATGAGTTTTCATGTGTTGCTTAAGGTAATCTTTGCGTTTAAATGTTTTCTGGCATATTTCACATAGAATTTCCTCTGGTGGAATAGACAAGAGAAATTTCACCAATTTCCCAGATGCTACCATTTAGAAAAAATTAATAAATAAGTAACATTCGGTGCCTGAAACCTGATCACTACATACAAATCAGAAATTCCCAAGGAAACTACCCCAGTTTTTATCACCTAGAAAGATTTTCTCAATTCTCTGAAGTTCTTAAATTTCACACAGTCACTGTTCACTTGTGAAGAGGCAGGGGTCTCAGCAAGGTGACTGCGAGCAGGTGGAAAATGAAGTAGACCAGAGTGTCCTTCCTTGTCCTCCAGTATGCAGGGTACTGTTCCCCAGGCTGTCCCACAGAACAGTAGTGCCTCCCGAGATTCTTCACTGTAGACCTGCCCTGCCTCCAGCAAGCTAACTGTGCATCGTGGGGGCGGCTCAAAGACCTGGCACAGCTCTACTCACTTTTCCAATAACGTCACACCCAACACTTCAGAAAATACCAGAGAAACTCCTTTACTTTAAAGTGCACAGCATTTCACTTGAAAAGCATTAAATCAGTTCTGTGGGGACAGACATTTACCCTGTGCCTGCCACTCATGCCTGCCTTACCTTTATGGGTTTCTCTCACATGTTTCAGAAGTTCTGTCCATGTTTTTGCCACAAAGCAACATCCTTTTTGACATACATAGCCTATTAAAAAAAACGGTACACTGCTTATCATGAATACTCAGTGTAAACACTGACCATAACTAGAAAGGAAACTTAGGTGCCTATATAATTTTCCATTCTCCTCCTAATAGTATTGAACTCTGCCTCTTGAGGTAGAAATAAAACCTAAAGAAGATTTACGTTACAGTAAAACCAAACAGTTGCACAGCAAGGTGCTTCCCTTTAGGATTTTACCTTCCCGTGAAGCAAACTTCACAGAGTTCCTATCTTCTCAGTGTGATCACGGAATAGGTAAACTTCACAGGAAGGATGCCTTTCCCTCTCTAAGCATTCTCAAGAAGCTGGGTGGACTGTGTATGGACTCCCAGCTGCTCTAACCTCCTGTCTCCACATTTCATTTCCCTTCCCTTGCCTGCCCTATCCTTGCTTCTGTTTTCCTCAGCAAACACTCTGCTGTCAGTCCCTTGCCCATGGCACACCACCAACACCAACTCTCCGTAGTTACCATGCCCACCTCTGGCTTCCTCTAGTTTTGCCATCTTGTAAGTGTAATATTGCACAAAAAAGTAGGGTACATTACATTTTAACCTGACCAAAAAAAAAAAAACAAAAAAGGTTTTTTTTAAAAAAAGCAGAGTACAGCCAAGGAAGAAGAAAAACTGGAAGGACCCAGAGGAAAACCCTGAGCAACAATGGATATGTGCAAAGCACTACAATGGGATTAGTAAGTATAGAACAGCAAGGCTGAGTTTCACCCAATCAGAAACTAAAACAATGAGGCTGCCTCTCACTGTTAACTACTAACCTCTTTTTAAAACATTATAAATTCTAGGACATGGAAAACTGAAATACAGATTAGCAAAAATCCCTCTAGGGAGCAGATAATAGACTCAAGTAGTTAATGTAATCAAGTCTTGTTTTGAGAAACGTAACATCTGATGGCTCTCAAAACATCACACTATGATCCAAGCCTGTGAATGGCCAACAAGGAAACGAATGGCACAGGCAGTAAATACTAATGGAAGAGGTTAAAAATGACAGAAGCATCAAAGCCATGGCTGGGGCACATTCGTCAGTGTAACGCAGAACCCGGTGCTTGTTGAGAACAGCAATGACACGTAGTGAAAGAACAGACATAGACACTGCCTCTTTGGACAAGAGTGTACGACCCCAATAAGCAGGATGGTGTCCCCCGCCCACAGAGTTCCCATCTTGTCGGTGTGATCATGGAACAGACTCAAAGGCACCCCAGATTTGGCATCCCTTCAGAGGAGCACACCCAGGCTGTCGGTACACACCCTCATGGGCCTTGGCATGTCGTTTCAGCTTGCTGGGTGATGCAAAGTGCTTCCCACATCCTTCCTGGGTGCACCTGCATTGGCAACACATGAGGTATTAGCCAATCTATTTTCACAGAGAACTCCACTCAGGGTCAATGGTACTTTGTCCTGTTTCTCCCACCGAAGTCTTGCCTCTTCCCACAACCAAACCCGTGTTAAAATGTAGACCTAATCACAGGTGAGATTCAAGTTACTCGACCAGCTTTAGGGCAAAACAAACTGTTGGAGAGAAAAGTCACGTTACCGTTTTTGACCCAGTTAAACAGTTTTCACCTCTAAACCTCTGAAAATATACTCTGCTTTCACGGCTACAAAAAGATACTTCAAGAGGTTTTCTGACTTGGCTTAGGAACCCCCCTAAGCCATTCTGAATCACTTGTGTCTAGCTTTCCTAATGATGCTGCATAGGGGGTGCGCAAGAGAGCACAGCAGTAGATGCATCTGCCTCCGGTGAGCAATAAAAAGCACTTGCCCCCTCTGTGCTAAAACCATCAGCAGCAAAGAAAGATGGGGCAGACCACAAGCAAGGACAGGCAGGGTCACTGCAGCAACTCCAAGATGCAGGGCAGCCTGCACAAGCCAAGGGAAGGTGTGGGACGGCCAGAGCCATGCAGAGAGCCGCTGGCCCTTTTGCAGGTCTACCCGACTTGTCCGGCCACCCTCACGTTCCTCAAAAAACCCTCTCTAACTGCAGAGAAACACAATTACTTGTTTTGTTCTATAGGAAAAGCATAATGAGTGTCTCCATAATGACCTTTCATATAGTTGAACAGGCTCTATTTGAGTAGTTAAGTAATTTCTCAGCCTTCCTTTTAAGCTTAACCACAACCAGAAAATTCTCAAGTTATTTTGAAACTCATTAAATATTTCTTTTAGAGCAAAGTAAACCTTTAGAATGCCCCCAATATAAAAATGTGCATACGTAGTACATATTAACAGAAAAATGTTGAGTAGGAAGCTTTCAGAACATTGTCCACCGTTGGTAAAATTTCAATAGCTTTTGGGATACAAATGTTTTCTCATTACATAGATGAATTCCATAGTGGCGCTGTGGTTTTAGTGCACCCGTCATGCAAGCAGCGTACATACACTGTACCCAACATGTAGTCTTTCATCCCTCACCCCCCCACCTTCCTACCCATTAAATCACTCTGTATGTCTTTTTGTCTTCATAGCTCAGCTCCCACTTTTAAGTGAAAACTATGGTATTTGGTTTTTCATTCCTGAGTTACTTTACTGAGACTAATGCCCTCCAGC